CCCCGGGGGACCGGAAGGCCATACCCCCGGGCCGCCCGCTGGCCCAGGAGCCGCCTCCTTACAGTGTCTGGACACTCCCGAGTGTATCCCGTATGCTGTTATGGGCCTCACTTGCTGGAGCTGCTCCAAGTTAACGGAATGATTTAGCGAGTACATCAGTGTAAAAGGGAAGTACTGTGGGGCTGCATTAGCGATTTTTATTTAATCAGGGGTTAAAAATAATTTAAAATAATTTATTTACCTTTCCTTATTTATCTAAATCTGACCAGATAGGGGCAGTAAGAGAGAGAGAAAGTGAGCAAGCTAGCTGCCGGGTCCAGGACTGGAACCATGGGTAGTCATATGGGAGTCCAACTTCCTTAACCACCACACCACCTAGCAGCTGTAAGGATTTAAATGTTTATCATTAGTTTGCTGCCCCCCCCATTTATTCATAGAGCTTTCTAAAGAACCTTTAAAAAATCCCTCTAAATTGCTTGTGAAGGAGTGTATAAACTGTATGCCGATGGATGCGCTGGGTGTAGTAGTCGCTGGTCATGTGACTTCTGAGCACTTGAGATGTGGCTAGTGAGGGGCCAGCAGGTGGCATGGTGGTTAAGGGTGCTGGACTCCCACAGGGCCGACCGCGGTTCCAGTCCCGGACCCAGTGGCTTGCTTTTCATTCTCCCCACTCCCACCCCCCAACACTCTGTCCCTCTCAGGTCAAATTAAAATAAGTAAAGTTTAAAAAAGAAATGTGGCTAGTGAGACTGAAGAACTGAATCAGAAATTTCCCTAAATTTAATGTTAAAAAATCTGATTAGGTTATGGATTTTTTTTTAATTTGCCAGAGGGCATATGCACTCACCACAGAGAGAGAGAGGCCCCCGGGACGTGACGACGCCAAATCTCCTCCTGCATTTCTCCATCCCTGTGGGATTTTGGACACTCACGCAGTCTGGTGCATCTTTCAAGTTGCTGGGCCAGGATCTGAAGTGCGTGGTCAGTCGTGTGGGATCCAGTTCCTTTAGTCACCAGGCCACGAGGCGGGCCCAGTTATGGGGAAATTGTAAGTATGTTTCGAGCAATTTAGACAAGTACAACAATTCTTTCAGCTGCACACGATGCGAAACCGGAATGCAGATCATATATTCTCAGTGCAAGTTTCGTGGTTCAGCTGAGATGGGCTGTAAGGGTTAAAGACATGCTGAATTTCCAATATTTCGTAAGAGTAGAAAAGAAAATACCTCATTAGTAATTTTTTTCTTTTTTTTTTTGAGCAGTTTTTGCTATAGGGCGTGTGTGCTCTCCAGAAAGACAGAGACAGAGAGACAGAGTGAGAAATCACCCCGTGTGATTCAAATCATGGCCCCATCAGCTTGAAAACATGCTGTGTGTGTGTGTGTGTGCGTGTGTGTGTGCGTGTGTGTGCGTGTGTTTTCAAAATCCCAGCACAAGGGAGAAATGGAGAAGGGGCTGATGTGACCACACCCCACCGAGGGAGTTTTCTTCTCCTTCCCCTTCTCTCTGGCAAGCACGCCTGCTCTCTGGCAAAAACAAAAACAAGAACAAAAACAAATAAATAAACAAAAAAATTCAGCATTTCCAAAATTTTGCAACAAAATAAACTTACATGAATTTGTCACATGTTTGAGCAGAATCTAATTTGAGGCTCCAAGAAAGATAAGGCATCAATCTGAAAAGTGTCTCTTATTAGAGCAACATGAATTCTGTTAAAATTGAAACAAGAATAAACACCAAATTTATAGTGAAGCTTGTTTGGGAGAATGGTGCAATCATTGGTGTCTCATGAAACGTTGACAGGGATAAAATCCCCCCAGAATCAGTGGTTTTCAAACAGATGAGGCCCGTCAGTCCCCCCACGTGGGGGCCTCTCCTGGGCGGCTGCCACCCAACCGCCCCGCACCTGCCGCCTGTCTCTCTTACTCAGGGCCTGCTCTCCTGGTTCCCGGTGCAGTCAGTGGTACCTTTTTTTCTTCTTTTTCATTACGCCCTGGGCATCTGAACATCGTGGTCATGGTTCTGTATTCTATTCAGGCCTCTGGGCAGGCAGTGACCCTGCTATTATTCCAGGTAGGCATGAGGGGTGCTTCAGCCCCTGCCAGGCCTGCTGTCGTGGGGTAGGAGCAGGGCGGAACTCAGCGGCGACTCGGACAGCCTCACCGACCCTGGATGAGAATGGACAGTCAGCAAGCTGCCAGGGACTCGGTTTGTTGACTCAGCTGTTTCTGAAGCTGTCACAGATTGTACACATTTTTGTGTGGTCAAAATTATTGGGACTTGGACCAGCAGTTAGCGTAATGGGTATGTTGCTGGACTCTCACGTAGTCGACCACGGTTCGAGTCCCTGACCCGGTGGCTTAAACTCATGCCGGGCGTGTGTGTGTGTGTGTGCCCAAGATCCCAAGAGGAGAATGGAGGAGAAGGGATTGTGACGTGGCCATCCCCCCTGGGGGGCGATTTCTCGCTTTCTGTCTCTCTCTCTCTCTCTGTCTCTCTCTGTCTGTCTGACAAGCGCACGCGCCCTATAGCAAAAACCTCTCCAAAAAAAAGAAAAAAAGATTATCGGGACCAGCAGACAGCATAATGGTTCCATCACTGGACTCCCACGTAGTCGACTGCAGTTCAAGTGCCGACCGGCAGCTCCAGACAAGGAACTGTGATGCGACCATACCCCTGCCGGTCTCTGTCTCTCTGGTGAGCACATGTGCCCTATAGCAAAAATTACTCTATTAAAAAAAATGAAATAATTCGACTTTCAAAATTTGAAAATTACTGTAATGAGAGGTGTTATAAGATTAAAGACAGAACAAAGGAAGAAGGGACCAGGAGGTGGCGTAGTGGTTAAGGCACTGGACTCTCACATGGCTAACCATGGTTCAAGTCCCAGACCCAGTGACTTGAAAATCATGCCAGATGTGTGTACATGCCCCAAATCCCAGGAGGAGAGTGGAGGAGAAGGGATTGTGGCATGGCTATGTCCCGTGGGGATTATTCCTCACTCTCCTTCTCTCTGTGTCTCTCTAGTGAGAGCACGTGTCCTATGATGAAAACCTAAAATCAAACCAAACGAGAGAGGGCACAGGTCGAGCACACCTGTCCGACTTACAAGGAGAGAATAAAAGGGATGTCTCAGTGTCTCGTCATCTAGCGGCAGTGCTGCGTGTCAGAGTGCCCCTGTGGAGGCCCCGATGACATCAAGGGAATCTGACTAGCCAGCGGTGACCAGTCAGCCCTGGTCATGATTCTAGACCTTAATGGGAAGAGTCTGGCCTCTTGGCTGGAAGGCCAGGACTGGAGCATCGATCACTACTGCCCACGGGCCACGAAGCGGTGTGACAGTGAGTCAGTGAGTGTTATCTCCAAGCCCTTGTCCACGCACATGAGGGTACCTCCAAAGTGTGCTGCAGTGGTAACCCTCTAATACTAACCCACGGGAGAAGGTCTGAGAGTCACACCCCAGGCCCTCTCAGTAGGCACGCACCTGCATGTGTTCCAAATGGCCGTCCCCACACAGGTTCTCTGTTAGGAACCCCTCGGTCTTCACTGTACAGCTGACTGGGAGACCCCAGGTAAGAGACGCTAGGATTTTGTGTCTCTTAAGAGGAGTGTGCAGAGACCAGCAGTTAACGTAATGGCTATGTCACTGGACTCCCACGTAGTCGACCGCGGTTCGAGTCCTGGACCCGTTGGCTTAAAACTCACGCCGGGCATGAGTGCATGCGTGCCCAAGACCCCGAGAGGAGAATGGAGGAGAAGGGATTGCAGCATGGCCATCCCCCCTGGGGGGTGACTTCTCGCTTTCTGTCTCTGTCTGTCTCTGTCTGTCTGGCGAGCGCACATGTCCTATAGCAAAAACCTCTAAAAAAAAAAAAAAAAAAAAAAAGAGGAGAGTGCAGCCAATGGTTACAAATAAAATGGCAGGATCTGGCTCCGTTCCCAGCTGCCTCCGTCGATGGTGACTTAGGAAGGATAACCCGCTGCTAGGCCTAGACAGAATCTGCCCAGGGTTGTTCTACCGCACGACCATGAACTTCTCCGAATCCGCCTTTCTGGAGAAGTTGACCAATCATGCGTCTGAGCCCCACTCCTGCCTTAGCCCGGGCTCGCCCCTCCGCTCAGCACAGGCATGCTGACCACTGCCAGAAGCTGGGATACAGAAACTTGGAAGAAACGTTGACAGTCACTGCTAGAAAGATTCTCGCCATCCCTCCAGAAAACACTGGCCAGCCGTCTGAGCAGCTCGGGCGCTGCTGGGAAGGCCATCTGTACACGCGCTGCACCGGCTCCCAAACAGCTCCCGTTCTACCTCAGCCGCAGCCTCTGCGCTTGCTCAACTGGAATTTCAACGCAATAAAAATCGCTTGAAAGTGGGTCATTCAGAGGGGACTGGAAAAAACTGGAAAGCAGAATGTGAGCTCTGGCTTTCCATGAGCATCAGCCGTGTACACTCTGGAATGCTATTTCACCCCACCTCACAGAGACTCAGGGAGCACTCTCCGAGCTCCACTAGGCAGTGAAATTCCTGTGTGCTTGCACCCGTCAATACGTCCATGTGCATCTTCCTCTTTGAAAAAAGACTGATTTTATTTAACTTTACTTACTCGTTTTAATTTTATCAGAGAGGGACAGAGTGAGAGAGAGACAGAGAGGGAAAGTGAGGCAGTGAGCTGCCAGGTCTGGGATTCAAACCGCGGTCAGCCATGTGGGAGTCCAGCACCCTTAACCACCATGCCACCTGCCAGCCCCCCCTGTGCATCTTTCAAAGTACTGCAGGAGGAGGAAGGTGTGAGAGGAATGACTTTCAGGTGGGGGAGTCACAAGCTGAGGGTCGGCGTGGCTGTCCACAGGGTGCCAGGCATTTACTCTGCCCTCGTTCTGGGTGTTTTAGAGTCACATTTGAATTCACGGGCCGCGTATGCTGGATTGCCCCCCAATGCGGGTGAGCGCCACCACAACACCGAAGGCCTGACGGAACAGAGACTGGCCTGCCCCGTCAGAGGGAAGCCCCGAGCTGGGACACAGGCTTTCTCCTGCTTTCAGACTTGAACGGACATCCGCCGTCTGGGAGTCCAGCTTGCCCACCGCAGATCTTGGGGCTTGTTGGATACCATAGTCATTGAGCGCATTCTCTGTTACACGTCTCCTCACAGACGTGCACACACGCACACACATGCGTGCACACACGCACACACACACTACTGGTCCTCATAAGCAGGATGTGGTGAAGTTCTCCAGCGTACCCTGTGACAACAGCAAGCTTTGGAGGCTCTTCATTCTCAGGTTCAATTTGTTTAAGAAAAAACCCACGTCACCTCTAACTTAGTATCTAAATACGTTCACTTTATTCAGCGCTCCTTGAGTAAAACAGGTCGCTCTGCAGAATGGCTGACAGTTGTGTCGTTTTCCTTCCAAGGGCGGGATGAGGGGCAGTTCCTCAAAGCCTCGCAAGGCCAGGCTCACCCTAGGGTCCGTTTCCCCTTAGTTCTGTCTGACGCCCAACTTATTTTTATGCATAGTCATCTTTTTCTTGAGGTGATTTTCTGTTTGGGAAGAGGAGACTTTCTTGAGAAACCGGGCGTTCGGCGTCTCAGGCCCACTCTCCCATCTGCTTGCGTGGCTGAGTGCCATGGGGCATGTGTGGCTGGGCACACAGGACTCCCTCCCTGTGGGTTTCTGACCCACGACCCACGTGAAAGCCTTCCTCAGCTGCCCCAAGTGCCCCCACGGACGAGCCCTGAGCACTCTGGGGTGCCCAGAGCTGTGCAGAGCACTCTGCAGACACCTTATCTGCCCCCTCAGTGCAGGGGGGGACTGTGGCTGTAAGAGGAAGAAGCCAAGGCTTCCCAAGGTCTCCCCAAGGTCACACGGCCCGTAGGGGCTGAGCTGGGGGTTGAACCTAAGTCAGACTGCGTCTGAAGCCTGTGCTTGTAGCCTGCCTCTGATCCCGCTGAGAGTCTGACCCCTGTTCTATGCAGACAGGACAGAGATGGGAAACCCTCATTCTGAGCCTCCCAGGAAGGCACCGGGTGACTGCAGGAGGGAGCCAGCAGGGAGGTCTCTGCGGGAGGGCCAGCAGGAGTAGCACAAGTCTTTTTTTTTCTTTGAGAGGTTTTTGCTATAGGGCGCATGCGCTCACCCGGAAAGACAGAGAGACAGAAAGACAGAAAGGGAGAAATCACCCCCCAGGGGGGATGGTCACACCGCAATCCCTTCTCCATTCTCCTCTCGGGATCTTGGGCATGCATGCACACGCGCCCGGCGTGAGTTTAAGCCACCGGGTCCAGGACTCGAACTGCGGTCGACTACGTGGGAGTCCAGCGACATAGCCATTCTGTCAACTGCTGGTCCCAGGAGCAGCCCAAGTTTGAATGCAGACAGCTCCCCTGGCAATACTCGGAGTGGGCGAACAGGCAGGTGAGGAAGCCTCGCAAGGCCAGGGCTGACAAAAGGGCATGGAGGAACAGAAGGAAGGCGTGGCCTTAGATGACTGGCAGTGAGTGAGGGAAGGCACAGAAGAAATGCGCAGGATCCTTGGGATGCCTGGGTAGGGGGACAGGAGGAGCCAGAGGCCAGGCTGGACAGAGGAGGACCGAGTGAAGGGAGAGCCGGGCAGCATGGGGAGGGCCGGGCAGCATCGGGCACGAGCTGTTCTATTTAGTCTGTCCCATCGACTGCCTCGTTTCCACTGCGTTCTCCCTCAAAACCTACAGGGACTTTGGGCTGGGCCAGGCTGCGCCAGGCCGGGTCTCCTTCCTTCCCTCACAGGCAGCCAGCTGTGAAGCCCATTCTTCCATGTCAAGGACTCTCCATCCATTGCTGTCAAGCGCTGCTGGGGGCCCCAGGACCTGCAAGTCCCCACCGTCACTCGAGGAGCATCTAATGGCTATTACTCCAATACAGACCAGGCCCTGCTCTACCTGCAGCCACTCAGATGGGCCCCTGCCCGCCCCTTCCCCACAGGGAGCTCAAGACCCCACCTTTTTCCATGTTCTGCTATCAACAGGGTCCCAAGTTCCAATTACCTAAAGCTCTTCGGAGACTGACAATGATTTTTTCCAGAGATGATAGGCTTTTAATTTGGTAAAGTGTTTCTCTATCCTCCTCTGCAGCAAAAATTAAGAACAATGATCAAAATGTGACAATTATGGTTTAAGTGCAAACTCTCACTTTTTCCTTCAACCTGGCTGTCTGGCTCTGGACCTTGGGCTCGTTACTTTCACCCTCGAAGACCCAGTGGGCCACCGTGAACCTTCCATTCCACTCCTCACCAGCTCA